ATGGTTTCCCTGGATGAATTCTACCGAACATTTAAGGAAAAAATAATTCCGGCTGCGCACAGTGGCTCAGGCCTGTCATGTCAGCACTTTGGGAGGCGGAGGGGGTGGATCACAAGGTCACGAGATGGAGACCATCCTGGCTAGCACAGTAAAACCCCGTCTCTACTAAAAATACAAAAAAAAGTAGCCAGGTGTGGTGGCACAAGCCTGTAGACCCAGCTACTAGGGAGGCTGAGGCAGGAGGATCACTTGAATCCAGGAGGCAGAGGTTGCAGTGAGCCGAGATTACGCCTCTGCACTCCAGCCTGGGTGACAGGACAAGACTCTGTCTCAAAAAAAAAAAAAAGAGGCCGGGTGCGGTGGCTCAAGCCTGTAATCCCAGCACTTTGGGAGGCCGAGGCGGGTGGATCACGAGGTCAAGAGATCGAGACCATCCTGGTCAACATGGTGAAACCCCATCTCTACTAAAAATACAAAAAATTAGCTGGGCATGGTGGCGCATGTCTGTAGTCCCAGCTACTCAGGAGGCTGAGGCAGGAGAATTGCCTGAACCCAGGAGGCGGAGGTTGCAGTGAGCCGAGATCGCGCCATTGCACTCCAGCCTGGGTAACATGAGTGAAACTCCGTCTCAAAAAAAAAAAAAAAGAAAAAAAAATCCCAGTTTCACACAATCTCTTCCAGAATATGGAAGAGGGAGGCAGCACTTCCCAACTCACTGCATCACCCTAACACTAAAACCAGGCCAAATCCCAGCACTTTGGGAGGCCGAGGCGGGTGGATCACTTAAGGTCGGGAGTTTGAGACCAGCTTGACCAACATGGTAAAACCCTGTCTCTACTAAAAATACAAAAACAAACAACAACAACAAAAAACGGGCATGGTGGCAGGCACAGCTGTAACCCCAGCTACTTGGGAGGCTGAGGTGGGGGAACTGCTTGAACTTGGGAGGCAGAGATTTTGGTGAGGCGATATCACGCCACTGCACTCCTGAGAGCACGCCTGAGCGACAGAGTAAGACTCTGTCTCAAAATAAATTAATTAAATCAAATAAAACCAGACAAAGAAAAAAATTCTAAAAAAAATTAAAGCAAATCAAATCCAACAATATATACAAAGGATAATATGTCAGGACCAGGCAGGGATCACCCCAGGAATCCAGAACTGATTCAACATTCAAAACATCAACCTAATTCATGCTTACAGCGTAGCAAGGAAAAACAGTGACATCTCAGCAGAGGCAGAGGAAACAGGCTCCAAGAGTTTCCGTCATTTGCTCAAGGTTTTGACAAGCAGCCACGGAAAGCCTCAACCCTGCTCTGTCTTGACTGATGCCAAAAGGCATGGCCTTGAAAGCACCACAGAGTAAGTCATCTAATGTAACAGCCCAATGTTTATTCCAAGTAAAGTAATACAATTAAAAGATTTTTAGGGCCAGGCATGGTGGCCCACGCCTATAATCCTGGCACTTTGGGAGGCCGAGGGGGGCCGATCACGAGGTGAAGAGATCGAGACCATCCTGGCCAACATGGTGAAACCCCATCTCTACTAAAAATACAAAAAGTAGCTGGGTGTGGTGGTGCACACCTGTAGTCCCAGCTACTCGAGAGGATGAGGCAGGAGAATCGCTTGAACCTGGGAGGTGGAGGTTGCAGTGAGCCAAGATCACACCATTGCACTCCAGCCTGGGCGACAGAGCCAGAGTCCATTAAAAAAAAAAAAAAAAAAATTTTATTTGAAACGATTTTGTATAGAGGCAAATGTCTTTTCCTGAAAGGCAGTCAAGATAGCCCGCATCTGCCATCAGGGCTTGCTTCCAGCGCCCCTATGACACACAGGGGCCTGTGTTCCCTGTCCCAGGTCTCTCAGCCTCCTGCATACAGGGTTTCTTGAAGACCGGTCTTCAAGACCACTCGACACTTAATAAAGCTTCTCTCCATCCCTCATCCCATCCTGGTCTTTACCATAACCCCTTACTGTCCCCATTCTTCTCGACACCAACACCAAGCTGGAGATATCATCACTCATCTGCGCTGGTGAGCAGGTGAGTCTCTATGGAAAAGGGACCTGGTACCCGGCATGTGCCCTTGCTCTGAGGACCTCCGTATGCTCCGCCAGCCTGGGTGCCCGTACCCCTAGGCCCTACTGGAACCATCTTCTGAATCCTGAAGGTGCTACTCCCTGTCACAGCAAGTAGCAGACCCTGCTCCCGTCCACGTGCTGGCCCATTGCCTTCAGGCAGCTGCTCAGCTGAAGAGCAAGGCTCCAGAATCCCATGGCGGGAGGGCAAAAAGGAGCAAAAGGGCCTCAGCCAATGAGGCTGCAGCAGGCACACTCCTCACCCCAAAGATTTTTTTTTTTTTTTTTTTTTGAGATGGAGTATCGCTCTTTAGCCCAGGCTGGAGTGCAGTGGCTTGATCTCAGCTCACTGCAACCTCCACCTCCTGGGTCCTGGTTCAAGCAATTCTCCTACCTCAGCCTCCCAAGCAGCTGAGATTACAGGCACGAGCCACCATGCCCAGCTAATTTTTCTATTTTTTTAGTAGAGACTGGGATTCATCATGTTGGCCAGTCTGGTCTTGAACTCCTGACTTCGTGATCCACCCCCCTTGGCCTCCCAGAGTGCTGGGATTACAGGCGTGAGCCACTGCGCCCAGCCTTATTTTTTTTTAATTAAAAAAAGCAAGATTCTGTACCTGCTGAAGCAGGCCCAGAAAAGAGCTGGTGGAGGGCCTGGTACCCAGAGCGGCACTGTTCGGTGTGATGTGGCAGCCACTGGTCACAGGCAGTGCCACAAGCTTGGAGTGTCACAGGATGAAATATTTCTGATATATATTTTGATAACAATAAAATATATTGTTGGCCAGGCGCGGTGGCTCACGCCTGTAATCCTAGCACTTTGGGAGGCCAAGGTGGGTGGATCACCTGAGGTCAGGAGTTCAAGACCAGCCTGGCCATCATGGTGAAACCCCATCTTAAAAATAAATAAATAAATAATTTTTAAAAATAAAATATATTGTTAAAATTATTTTTTCTATTTCTTTGCTAAACTCCATTTCTTCTTACTAGGTTAATTTGGCTATAGGAAATGTTTAAGTTATGCATGTGGCACATGATGTTTCTACCAGGCAGCACAGGGCTAGCACCTGAGATCCTCAGATGCCCACGGGGTGCAGAAAAACCTGGCAATTCTCTCAGGCCAAGGACTGATATATTTTAAAACTGAGATTTCGACTGAGGAGGGAGGATAGCTACCATATAAGCAAATACACAATGTTGTATGTTGTATATTTCTTTCTTTCTTTCTTTTTTTTAAGAAAAATCCCTTGGCAACAGGAAGCTTAACTGCACCAACAAGGACAGCAGAAGAAAAACAGAATGTCAGCCAATGAGGGTCACCCTGACCCAAACCCAGCCTCAGCTCTCTCCAGCTGCACAGCCCGGGGAGAAAGGAGAACAATGGGAACGAGCAGAAAAGCCCACCCCTCACACCCAGTTAGTCTCCCCTGCTCACTGGCAGGCCCCTAGCTGGGTCTGCAATGGGACACTGCCCCCTCGCATTCTGTCCCCCTTCTACATGGCTCCCCTGCCCACCCTTCTCCTGAGGGCAGTCCCTGGGGGTAATCATGACTCCAATCTAGATATGAGGGTTATCAGTGATAGATTCACGTGGTGAGAACACAGGAGCTGTAGGGGTACCTATGCCCATCACTCATCTCACTGCATGTTATAATTCAATGAACAGTTTACTAAAGTAATAGTCTTCTTCCTGTCCTCTGCTGAGCACCCATCTGGTCAACCCTTTGCTCCCTCAGGGCCAGGCCCCATCTCCTCCTGCTTACCCTGGAGGGCTTCCCACCTGCCTCCGTCCACTAGGAATCTTGCCCCACTGACTGACCCTTCAGCTCTCAGATCCCAGGTCCCTCCCAGACAGGGAAACAGGTTCTTGTGAATTTCAATCCAACCTCCCCAATAGCTACTCTTCAAAACACTAACCAGTGTTAGGTCCTTCAGAGAACTCTCTGCCTTTCCAGGCCTACCGTCCCCCTCCCTAGAATGAAAGCTCAGTGGCAGAAGAGCCCTTCACCTTCTGAATGACACTAGGCCCTCAGCAGGCCCTGAATAAATACTGGCTGCATCAGTGAGTGAATAAATGCACATGTGAGTAAGAAATGAAGGGAGGGAAGGAACTGGATTAGAGGCTGCTTGGGGCAGAGATGTGCCTTACAGGTTCCATGAAGAGTGGGTGATGAAAAACGTGAATGGGGCAAAGAGGAAGCTTTGACAGAAGGGAGGATGCAAGAGAGGTTGGAAATTGGAATCCATTAGAACTGGGAGCCTGGGGAGATGCCAGGACAGGCACTCTCTGGCACACTTAGAACTCTGTAGAGGGCAGCCTCAGCAGGCGAGTCAGTCCCACCCACCCTGGCCCCGAAAGGGGTGGGTGGTAGTGTGCAGTCTGCTTAGCCCCCGCTGGGAGAGAGCCAGGGTCCCTACCACTCTCATGGTGGGCAAAGCTGGCCTCCTGATCCTGGGGGATGGACGAGAGCAGGGGCCACACGACACACGCCCAAACATGTAATCAGCCCCCCTCACCCTCGCCCACGCTCGTCACACACAGCCTCGGTCATACACACTCACACTCTGCACACTCTCAGACCATCAGGTAATTTCAGTGAGACATACACAATCCCAAAGACACGCACAATCTCTGAGACCCACACAATCTCAGGGCCACACACAGGCACACACCCAGACGAGCTCAGGAACGCTCCTCTCTGAGACACGCAACCTGAGGTTTACACGCGCGCGTACACGCACATACAGCTGGCGCTCCCGCTCGCGGCGCCCCGCCCCTACCACGCCACGCCCACCTCCCCGCCCCCGTTGCCTGGGAACTGGCAGCCCCGCCCCCCGGCGTTGAAGGTGCCGCACGCCTTCAAGCCCAGCAGGCCTTCCAGATTCCTCTCTCACTTTACGCCGCAGTCCGGTGCGTTTAGTACCTGCCTGAAATCAATATTGCCGAGGCCTCCGCAGCAGTCAGTCCCCGCCACCGACCTGCTCGTAGGCTCGGATCCCTGGTCCCCAGATCCCTTCATCCGGGGGCCGCCTCAGGAGGGACCACGCGGCCCCCCCACGCAGCCACGCGCTCCCGGAACCGGCCCTATCACGCCGGGAAAGTGCCACCGGCCGGGCTGCTTTCCCGGTGACCCCAACTTATCTCGGCCTTCTGGGAAATGTAGTTCCCCTTCACCTCGAAGAGCCTCTTTATCTGGGGGCTTGCGACAGCGTCTAGAGGAACCGAGAACTACAAGTCCCAGTGTCGTTCACGGCAGAACCTGCCGGTTCCGCGGCAGCCACGCGGCAGTATCCCCTTGGATCCTGCCTCCCGCCCTGTGCCTTTGATCGCCCGCTGCTGCACCCGACCCTCCAGCTGACCTAGCGTCCCTGTCCTAGGCTGGCAGTGGTGGGGCTAGAGGCCGGCCGTCGCTGGTCATAGCTATAAGTAGCTTGCCGCGCAGCCTCCTGTGGACTTGGACTTTGGCCGGGGCCCCACACGCCCGGGGCTCCCCGCCCCCTTCTGAAATTCGCTTTACTCTGGGGGTGGTGCGGGACGAACACTGCCTGGAGCCTCCCGCCCCCGCGGCGTTCAAGATCTTTAGCTCCACCAAAGACCCCTCCTCCACTCATTTTTTCCTTCATTCACTCTCGAGTATTTGCTTAACAAGTCTGTGCGCTGAGGGTACTGTAGGGAACAACGGAGTCCCCCGCCCTTACTGCCTCCTGACTGAGATAAAAGACAAACCATGAATAAAGGGTTATAATTTGGATGAGTACTGTGACGGAAAAATGGGATGGGTTAAATGGTAGGGAGGGATGCTGCCTTAGAATGAACAGGGGAGGTGCCAGACGTGCCAAGTGTGAGGGTAGGGCAGACAAGGAAGAGGGATGATTTGTGCAAAGGCCTGGAGACAGGACAGGGTTCCCTCAGGAACGGAGGAAAGACCGGTGAGCCGTGTAGTACTGATGGAGAGGGCCAAATGGGAGGGAAAAGTTCAGATGATTGGGTCCCAGAAGAACCCCTTTTGTAGGCGGGGTGCAGTGGCTCACGCCTGTAATCCCAGCACTTTGAGAGGCCGAGGCAGGCGGATCACCTCAGGTCGCGAGTTGGAGATCAGCCTGACCAACATAGAGAAACCCTGTCTCAACTAAAAATACAAAATCAGCCTGGGGTGGTGGGGCATGCCTGTAATCTCAGCTACTCCGGAGGCTGAGGCAGGAGAATTGCTTGAACCCTGGAGGCATGGGTTGCCTTGAGCCCCGAGATCCTGCCACTGCACTGCAGCCTCTCAACGAGAAACTCTTTCTCAAAAAAAAAAAAAAAAACACCTTTGTAGCCAGGTGTTATATCATATGGGAAAATAGACTGAGATGTTCCAAAATTTGCTCGGTCACCCAGCCTGCTGGGGATCAGACAGGACTTCTGCAAAGGCAGCTCCTTCCTGCTCCAAGTAGCCCATTTATCTCCACCTTGGCCCACAGCACCTATCAGTATTGAGCATTTACTGAGCGCGGGCTGAGTTATAGGTAGTCCCAATCTTCACAACATCGCTAGGATGGGGCAGGCCAGCCAAGGCGACAGGAAAGACACTGGCTTTCCTGACACTGGCTTTACTAGCTCTGTGACTGAGCCCCCCTTCCTTTTCCTCAAACGTAAAAGGGAAATACATGTTGGTAAAACTCATTACCCAGGAACTGGCCTGTGGGAAGTGCTCAGGAAGCACTGGCCACCGGCGGGGCTGGGGACACAGGCGCGGGGCTGGTTCTGACTTAGCACTGTTGCTAATGAGTGTCAGGAGCCTTTCTCTGCTCAGTGTCCAGGCAGAACTGCGAGAGGCAGAGCCATTTCTTAGGAGCCCCCAGGAGTGGGAGGGCTCCTAGCAAGCCTCTCCTCCTCCCTGCTACCACATATCCACTTCACCAACGCTCCAGACTTCTCACCTACCTGGTCACTCTTGTTAAGCTCAGAAAATGAAGTTTTGTGTGTTTGCTTTATCTGAGAACAAAG